GCTCGATGGCTGAAATTGAAAGCAAATACGCTGGATTTTTCAGAAGTCAGCTCAAAACATCTGCTGCATCATTCTCCAGGAGAAAAACTAACAGACAGAAGTCTAAACTATATAACACATCCCTATCAAAACTACAGATATGTAAACAAATTCAGATCGTGTAAAGATGATGAATCTAATCACACGAATTCCACTCTGTTGAATATTAAAATACACAGAATGGAAAGCCACATGAGGGCAAGTTAACAAGATGTCTACTCGTGCTGTCACAGATTCACAGTTCATTCTGTTCAATTGTTTCAGGGAAAAAAAGAGTGTGAGTGAGGGTTGGTAAATAGATGAAGGCAGGCAGAGGGAAAGAGAGATAGAGGGAACAATGATAATCCGGTCCCTGGAGATGGACACAGGCTGTTGTGCTCCAGTTGCTTCAGCTACCCCTTGACCTGTGTGTGGATCCGCAGTTGTCTTGTGTTGCATATTTGTGTGTGTGTGTGTGTGTGCGTGTGTGAGAATCCGCAGTGGTGTATGTGAGAGTGCTGGAGGGTTCTTTAAGAGGAGGCTGGAGGCTGCAATTTCAGCGAGCACCTTGATTATGAGAAAGTACACCGCTTAATGTTTCATCGGCAATCGCGGAGTCATTAATAATTCATTGGCTATTTCATTGCATTGTTACATCAGCACAGAGGAGACTGAGTGTGAGAAAATATGATGCTCATCAATTAAACATGCATATTCAAGATAGAGACACATTAAAAGGCTAACATACATCTATCTGAGATACACATTTAGAAGTGTGTGATTATTAGCATTAGAAAACATACTTTAACTGTATGAAATATCTGCTTTTATACTCATCATCACCTTCATTATCCGATCATTTAACTAATTTCAGAACTCAAATGTATTTCCCGGTTTAATGAAATATCATCTTTGGGGAATAACATGTTAATTACTTCATTTGAATATGAGCGTGCCAGTGGAGATTTAGGACAAATTGGGAGTATAACAGAGTGAAGAGGGTTCTCTACTAGCTGCCATCGTGCGTGTGTATGTGTGTGCGTGTGTGTGCGTGTGCGTGTATCTGTGTGCGTGTGCGTGTGTATGTGTGTGCGTGTGTGTAAGCTGCTGCTCTGCGCTGCCATCTCCTGGACATGGGATGCTACACAAACATAATTGATGCATCTGCAGCAGTAACCTTGCTCTGCATTGCATCTCATAAAAAATGTATGCCCCAATGTAATACCTACCATTTTGGAAAATGTGAAACTTGATTCTCGCAAAATTCTTGATTCTTCACTGTCAAATTACATTAGAGGTTATGGAATAAAGCTATGAGAATGTGTTTGTTTTTTGTATTTATATTTTTGAATGCATGTGTGTTTAGTTAGTGTTGTTCTGAGGGTCTTTGTTCCTTTTGAGCATCGTTGATTCTTTTTATGATGTTTCCTTCTTCTTGAGATTGTTTTGAGTATTATAACATTTTGAATGTGGTCTTTTAGTGTCGCTTTGTGGTCTTTCTGTGTCTCTAAGATGTAGGTTTGCATCTTGAGGATGTTTTGTCTAATTTTTATTTCTAGTTGTTTTCATTATTTTGTATTCATCACAAGTCTTTTTCAGGTTGTTTTGTATCTCTTTTTGGTCATTTTAAGTTTCATTGTGGTTGTTCTGCATCGTTTGGCAGTTGTTTTGAGTTTCTTTTTGATATTCATATGTTTTTGCCGACACTGCTCTGCACAGATATTACACTAAATACTACATAACATTGAACACAATATGCCCACCAGGTCCCCCTGAGCCTTTGCTTGGTAGGCCTGTTCAGTAATCCATCCATGCGTACAGCAAATCATTTATTTACACGGTTTTCTAAACATCATTAGGAAAACAAATGTGCATTATCTGTGTTCGTGCCTGAAGCCCAGCTGAATAAGAGGAGGGCTCAGAAATAAACTAATGCACTTTCTTGGCTTTTGATTATTATTTTTTGCTGGTGGTACAAACATCAGTTAAGGGTTGCATTAGGCACACATTGTTCTGCAGCTCTGCCAGTGTGTTTGTGAGTCCAGATGTTGTCCCTGTGCTTCTGGACTTTGTCTCAGGGAACATCTGGAGTAAACTCACCCAGCAGCAGCAGAGCGGCTCCCAGTCTCCTCCACTCCCCCGGTGTCCTTGTGTGAACAGAGAAATAATTCAGTCCTGCAATGAAATATGAAACCTTCCCTGGTGCCACAGCGCCTGCAGCTCTGACCGACTGGAACACTGTGTGAGGGGAAAAGATGAGGCCTCAGCTTCATGAAGATGTGCCAGAGATTCCTTCCTCTGTCCAAGAGAGATTCTTCAAGGCCCTGCTGCAGCCTGTAGAGACAGACCGTGCAATAAGGGCCAACGTAAGCCTAAAATTACATTTTTTAAGAATTAGGATGCCAAGAGCTCAGTCCGTCTTGGATCTTTTAATATGCAATGCAGGCAAAGATGGAAATTGTGCACATAAGTTGCCAAGTCCGAAGGTTTATATCTGGGACTATTAACTGTAGAATTGCAAAAAAAAGATGCACAGTGCATGCTAATGTATGCCCAATTAAAACACCTTTATTTAATTATTTCTCAGCATAATACCAATGGAAAATCTTTTTTACACTGACCTCTTGTGGTCAAAAGCTTCAAGTGTGCTGCAGCTGTAGCCACACTTTGTCTTTCTTTACATAGTTTCAAAGCAGAATCAAATTAGATCCCACTGCTGTACTCACTTTTAATTAATGCATGTTCCAGATTTAAAAACCCTAGAAATGTATTGATAAAAGGAATACAGTACCCCCAAAATGATAACGTGTATATCAATTACTCCACCAGTGTTATCTTTAATTTTTGGAAAATATTAACACAGGTGAAGAGTATGCCTCTGCAATCTTGACACTGTTTACGTAAGAGTGTTTTAAGTAGAAAGATTTAAGCAAAAATGCTCACAGTCCAATATTTGAACAGATATTTAACTCAGCTTGGTCTTGACAAAGAAAATGCATCTTTGGGAAGTAGTGGGCTAGGTTGTATGAGAGTTTGTAAACAGATGTTTTGCAGCCTCAATTCATCTCTTTTTATTTAGTTCTTTCTCAAGAATTCAGGTAAATAAGAGTGAGTAAATGATATACAAATTATCACTTTGTGGGTGAAGTATTCCTTTATTAATAGCTACAGTAGAAGAACAGAAGTTGTCCATTAAACTACTTATTGAAGATACCGTGTGCAGTTCCAACACTGCTCACAGGGAGGCAAGAGTTTACACAAAAGTGGTGAGAGCTAATTTGCTGAATCATTGCTACAAAAAAAAGAAGTAATATGAAGATAGTATTTGCATCTCAGCAAATACTGGAACTTTTAATAGTTATATTTGTGGGCCAGTAGTCAATAATTATATCTCTGCACCTATAGATTCCCATTAAGCTTGATGTCGACTTCCCAGAGACATCTACTAATAACATATATTACGAGCACCTCATGTATGGAGACCTAAAATAGGTTAACAGTAACATTACAATGTTTTGAACACAGTCTCATGAGTGCAACTGAAAGAATAATGTTACATTTAATGGGTGATTCGCTTCTGTGCATGAGTTGGTGTAGGAACAGGTTACTCCACCAGGGGAAACACACCCCCATAAATCAGAGGGCACAGATCTGCCAAATGGATCTAAAATTGAGATTCAACGGATTTACTTTTTTGCAAATACTTTTCATTTGAATGGACAAAATATGTATACATAATGTGTTTTCCACTATTTTTAGACTTGGTAAATACAATTTGGATCTATTTCATGTAAACATTTGTCCAGGAAAATAATGTAAGACTTGTAGTAATGGACTCTCACTCTTTTGTTTCCTGAGGTGTTCCTCCTGTATACAATGCATCACATACTTTTAATTAACAAAATGAGAATGGCGTTTATCAAAAGCACACTTAAAAACCAAATAGATGTGGTACGTAAAATATATATGGATACATGTTGTCATTTTTTATGGTGCACTCAAACAAACAATATTCAGTCACGCTACAAGATGTCACTGACAACATATTTAGTTCTATAAATGTATCCAATTCAAACCAGACAGTCAACCATCCTCTACATCAGGGGTGGGCAAACTTTTTGGCTCGGGGGCCACTATGAGTTTTAAATTTGACAGACGGGCCGGGCCAGTAGCAGATCGGTAAAAAAATATTTAGCTGATCACTCCTCTTTATACACTCGGCACTCAATGTTGACTTTTATTTTTCTTTGGTCCACTCATTGTTACAGATGCAGGTTCAAAGGTGAATTAGGTTCAAAGGTGAATTATTGCGTCATTGCGTCATCGTTTGCGTCATGACGTAACCGTTTACGTGCCTTCTTATGACCCACACAGCGTTACGCTGTGTGGGTCATAAGAAGGCACGTAAACGGTTACGTCATGACGCAAACGATGACGCAATGACGCAATAATTCACCTTTGAACCTAATTCACCTTTNTTTGCACGCTTTTTGCGTATTATAAACGGAGTTGGCGACATTAAAACTGCAATATAATGTTTGTGTAACAATAATACATTTTTTTTATTTACATGTCTCCATTACCGATAAAAAGACCGTTAACGTTGGAGCATAACGGTACCACAGTCTTTAATAATTCAGCCCGGGGGCCGTTTAATACCGGGGCTCGGTACCCATCCCTATTCACAGCGGTCTGTTCTACTGGATTAACAGCGTGTCACATGTTCCGAATTGACCAATCAGAACTTTATTTAGCCTCCGTATTGTTTATGGTTGAATGTGGGCCACGGAAAAAAAGAATGTAGATTCTTAAGTGGGCCCCGAGTTGAAAAAGGTTGGGAACCGCTGCTGTATAGCTAACATACTTTAGTTTGACATGTATTTATTTTCAGTTGATACAAGTTATTTCCACCTCTCTTTGTAATTTCTTTGGTGTTGCGATATAAAAATGCAATATAACTTATATTGGTCAAATTGACTCACTGTTATGGTTGGCACAGATCTTCAAGGTTCGGTCTCTCCTCATCAGGAGGCGGATCGTTCCCTTCTCTCTGTGTTTCAGCAGCTTCACGTCGCCGGTTCCCCTCTCCTTCCACTCTGCGGGCTCGTTCTCAGAGGCAAAACGATACAGTTTAGCCCGCCTGGGAACACAAAGGTACAATAGCTTACTAGTTGTTCAGCAAATATCACATCATTTAAATTAATACAAATAAGACTCAAAGGTTTTATTGTCATATGCACAAAGCTACAGTGTGGAAATGGCAATGAAATTATTCTGACCTGAGCTCCTCCAACAGCAACATAATAAATAAAAAGTAGTGCAAAAAGCCTATATAAATAACTTGTGGGGTCTTTGAATAAGACTACACTTACATTTTAAAGAGTTCCTCCTCATCCTCTTCTAATGTTTTCACATCTTGCTCAGGAAGGGACACAATGGGTTCGAACTGGGGATCATGATTAGAGTCCTCTGCTGTGTCTGCAGTGGTTTCGGGCTCCTCCTTGTCCTACAAGGAAAAGCAATGGATGAGTTAGTAAAACAAAGTCTGATTACCTGTCAGAGATTCAGAGTTAAGTGCAAGTAATTAGGCGCGTGGTGTAATAGGCCAGTGTGACTCTTTAAAATGTGCTAGAACCAAATGACTTCTGACAATTGTCCAACAGGCCACGGATGCTTCAATGGAGGGATTTAGGAGCTCATTGGTTAAGTATAGCTTTTGTATGGGAACTGGCAGAGCCTTTAGTAAATCGCTATTGCTGAGCCAAGCATCTTTAATTCTATTTGGGGGTTGCATATTCTCACGCTGATGTGCATACGATTAAAAGCGCACTACTAATATGGCAGGAACACATTCTGCATACAGAAGAATGTGATGTATTCAGAAGTGTGCACGTTTTTTGACCGTGTGAAAAGCAGAGGTGTGGGAAATGCTCAATCTTGTACCTGAGTAAAAGTAGCAAAGTGTAAGAATACTTTGTTACAAGTAAAATTCCTGTATTCAAAATGTTACTCAAGCAAAAGTATTGGTATTTAAATAAACTTGAAGTAAGAATAGCTCAAATGCTAATTCAGATCGGCCCATTTTGTGTTTCGATTATAAATATTGATGTGTTTATCAAGCTGTTAAAAAAAGGTCAAACACATTTTAATGACTTTGTATACTGCAGGGTAGCTTGTGAATTTACTCCATGTGTAACCGAAGTCTGATTTAAGTGTTGATAACATTTCACATCATTCATCCAAATCTGCAAAGTAACCAAATAAATGTAGTGGAGTAAAAGTACACCATTTGCCTCTGAATTGTAGTGGAGTAGAAGTACAAAGAAGCAAGTACATTTAAAATACTCAAGTACCTCAAAATTGTACTGAAGTACAATACCCGAGTACATCTACTCAAGTTACTTTACACCATGTAACGGATATGAAACTGAGCAAACGCGGGAGACTTTCCTTTCTTCAGGTTGGAAACCCTTACCCCTTTATGCTCACAGGCTTCACTAGTTAGCAAGTTAGCTCCATCCCACTGCTAGCTACGGGAGATGAGCTACACAACGGCTACTGATGCAAAATATATTGCAATAATGGAATAATTAATTGAATAAAACGGCAACTGGCTTGATGGGCAATATGTATATGCTTAAGATTTGGCTTTAAGCCAGTTACATTAATCTGTGTACTGGGAACATAGTTATTTCAACTTTGTTTTTTTCAAGACAACTCATTGTGAAGTTGCAGAGCTAACAAGGAGGCCTTTCACTAGCATGCTAGCCGTTCGCTAACATTAAGCGTTTGTCTTTTCACACCTCGGTGTCTTTTTTAACACCGTTAACGTTGAAGTTGATTGAGCTGACATGTGTTTAGGCTAACTGTCACTACAAATTAGTGGAGCATTGTGACTGCTGAATGCCCGATAATACGCAGTCGCTAGCCCCATGCTAGGATGCTAACAGTAGAATAGAATTGTTAGCAACTGTTGTGCTTATAGCTAATGATTAGAGGGGCTAATGTTAGCATGCAGACTGTCTGCACACTTGAGTAGTTGTTTAGCTTCAAATGAAAGCGTTGGAGTAAAAAATCTAGCTTTGCACATTTCCAGCTGTCTGTCAGAGTTTGTTCAAGCTTTCACTAGCCTTGAATTAGCATCAGGGAATATATCAGTCGGCATTTCTACCCCCCTGTTTCCTTTATAAACTTTGTCCGATTTAAACATATACAATAACATGTTTGGAACAAAATGTTGACTTTAGGGTGGACATGGTGAACTGGATGACCTAAAATAATTGTCCTCACCTTTGGGTCCGCCATGTTAAAAGAGGATGTTTAAAGATGCTGCGAGTAGTTTGATCGAAGAATTGGCCGCCTTCTCCCCTCAGCTTCGTTACTTCCGGCTTCAGCTTTCGCGCGCCGAATTTCCTACGTATGGCCGCGCCTACATTATGACAGCGCGCGCACCGCCTCTCGTGTCTCTGGGACCATCACAGTGGATTGTTTCTCACTGGTGGAAAACAACTACAACAACAATATATGTATTTAGGTTAAAGTAGCAATACAACATTTTAAAATAAAACTCTGTAACGAGTACATTTCCTTAATTCAAAATCTTACTTAAAAACAAACGTTTTTGCATCAAAATATACTTCAAGAACCAAAAGTAGTACTTGTTATGAACATACTTGTTATTATTTGGCCTATTTGATAATAATATAGCCTATATCAAATTATTGTATTTTGATTATTTATGTATTAAGATTGTATATCACTGCTGTTATGGATGGTCATTTCAATAAGCCTCCTTTGTGTGCTTATGATGGAAATGTGTGTCAAAACTAATCACCACACATTTAGACAAAAGTTTCGCTCCACTCCACCCAATGCAGTTTGGTTTCTGTGCTCACCACTCCACTGAGACAGCTAACTGTGTCTTTGTGGAAAAGGTTAAATGTATGTTGGACACGAGCCCATATGTGCTATCTTTCTTGATCTCAGGAAGGCTTTTGACACAGTTGACCACCAAGTGCTCCTTACAAAGCTGACTCATTTCAATTTTTCGGCAGTTTCGATACATTAGTAGTCATATTGGACTCGAACTTGACTTTTAAGAAAAATATTAAGAAAGTATCCAATACCATTAAATTCAACATGCAACATTTTAAACAAATTCGACCTTTCTTAACTGTCAATGGTGCAAAGTCATACCTCCACTGTATGATTCTATCCCACATTGAATACTGTTTTACAAACTGGTCGTTTGCTTGTGCCACAAACCTGAAACCAATAGAACAGCTCTACAAGAGAGCTATCAAGGTGTTTGACAGAAAGCCTTATTCATACCACCACTGTACCATCCTTGAAAAGCACAATTTCTTGAGTTTTGACAATTTTAAGTCTTTAAAAAGTATGTGTTTTATTTATTCATGTTTACATGGACTGTACTGCCATGTGGTTAATGCTTGTGTATGCTGCTCTTGCTCTTTCTGCATATCATGTATTTATTTTTGCCCTGTATATAACTGTCATGTTCATAAATGTTGTATGTGACGGGACTACCGATGGAAATTAGCTCAAAGCTAAAATCCGGCTCATTTACATTTGGAAGCATTATTTTGTTTACGATTAAATGAAAATGAAATGAAATGTAAAGGTTTATTTTGTTTAAAATCAGAGATACGTTCAGACCCTCAAAAAACTGAAATGTTGACTTTAATCAAATGTGTTAGTGTCAGAGTTCACATCGCTGTATTAGGTTAGATAAAAGCAATTATAGTTAAAGGTGGGGTATGTAATTTATTTCAGAAACACTTTTTGTTATATTCCATAGAATGCTCTTAACATGCCGATAGCAATGAACAGTGAATGAATGTTATGAATGTGCTTTGACAATAAATACATAAAAAAATGTCATCTGTGGAAGCCGTAGTGCTGTAAAAAGCACGACCAATCATCTGAGCCGGCCCGGCTAAAGTAACTGGATGGCCTACCTGCCTGTCAGCCTTCCATCTGTGCACAAACTTATCTCGTGCCCTCATTGGTCATGTGCGCGTTCGTGTGTGTTGGACTGAGACTGCCAAGGCACACANAATGTATTATTGCAGTTTTAGTGTTGCCCACTCCGTTTCTAATATGCAAAATGCGTCTTTTTAGTATTTGCGATCTTTCCAATCCAGGCGAGAGATCTCTCTCCCCCGCCTGCTTGCGAGGGGGCGGGGCAGTTTACACACACGCAGCTGCTACATGCAGCAACACACACTCACACACACGGAGGAGATGGAGGAGAGAACGCGCTTCGAGCTGTGGTTACACTTTACCCGTCTCGATGTGGACAATCCTCGTTACCAAAAGTGCTATAAGACTAGAGTGATGCGATAGGAGCGTTTAGAGCGAAGCGAATATTCGCATCGCGTCCGGTGTGAACGTAGCATTTGTTCAGCATGTAAGGGCGCACGAGCAATTTGTCTAAACATTTAGCAAAAGTGCACCACATTCAGATGGAGGAATGCACCGGGTTCGACTGTCTTTCTAGTAGCTCTGTAGCTCCATCCACGAGTAACGTTTCCACGTCAGGTGTTATGTATGCTAGCAGCAACACACGGAGTTAGCTCAATTATACAAACATGGGTTCATGATTAGAGGTAACTGAGTTACTCTTTATTTTGTTAAAACATTGTTGTTTCTTTTGATGTGAAATATTATTTATTTAATTTAAATAAAAAGCAATGTTAGTTTTGTTCACAATTTGTTTACCTTATTTTTTTCTCCAAAAGAACCGATAACAGTACCGTTAAAAGACCGGACCAATAAGCGGTATCGATAAAAGTAGTAGTGGCGTTAAAACCTTAACGATACCCATCCCTAGCTGTGAAGGACTGTAATGACCGTTGCTAAGGAGGATCGAGAAAGGAAAAGAGGTTCAAATAAAAACAAATCTTAATAATGAAATGTTTCCACACAAATCAGAATGTTTTGCAAATTATTTGGCGGCCCACTTGCAAAGCAAAGGCCCACAGGTTGGGAACCGCTGCTATATAGTGTATATAGCAAAATATAGTGTATACACAAAACGTGTGCATATTTCTATTTGAGTTCCTTTCACACTAAAGCCTTCTGAGCACATATGTAGGGACTCGCACTACTAAGAAGTCTGTATGGATTTGTTTTGCAATTTCAGCACTGTGTGTGTGTGTGTGTGTGTGTGTGTGTGTGTGTGTGTGTGTGTGTGTGTGTGTGTGTGTGTGTGTGTGTGTGTGTGTGTGTGTGTGTGTGTGTATATAAAATAAAGGATACTCAAGGATATAAGACTGACATGGACATGTTTTATTGTCTGCAACAAAGTTCTCCCATCCCTCAGGGGCTTGAGTATAGATTAGGTTAAAAAGTCACTCCAGTTAACCTGATTCTCCCTCTTGTGACCTGCAGTTACGCCGGCCATGGACCTGAGGCCCAACGCTGGCAGTGACCGGGCGTGGGTCTGGAACACACTAGCAGATTATGCTGACGAAAGCCCCAAACCTGAATACCTGGCAATACGCTTTTTAAATGCAGAGAGTAAGTATTTATACATTGAATCCAGTGAAGTGAAACAAACTGTCCATTCTCTGCATCGAACTCCGTCATACAGCAGCCCTTTGATGTGAACACACTCTCACTCTCCGTCATACAGCAGCCCTTTGATGTGAACACACTCACTCTCTCTCTCATACAGCAGCCCTTTGATGTGAACACACTCTCACTCTCTCCGTCATACAGCAGCCCTTTGATGTGAACACACTCACTCTCTCCGTCATACAGCAGCCCTTTGATGTGAACACACTCTCTCTCCGTCATACAGCAGCCCTTTGATGTGAACACACTCTCTCTCTCCGTCATACAGCAGCCCTTTGATGTGAACACACTCTCACTCTCTCCGTCATACAGCAGCCCTTTGATGTGAACACACTCTCACTCTCTCCGTCACACAGCAGCCCTTTGATGTGAACACACTCTCTCTCTCCGTCATACAGCAGCCCTTTGATGTGAACACACTCTCACTCTCTCCGTCACACAGCAGCCCTTTGATGTGAACACACTCTCACTCTCTCCGTCATACAGCAGCCCTTTGATGTGAACACACTCTCTCTCTCTCCGTCATACAGCAGCCCTTTGATGTGAACACACTCTCACTCTCATACAGCAGCCCTTTGATGTGAACACACTCTCACTCTCCGTCATACAGCAGCCCTTTGATGTGAACACACTCTCACTCTCCGTCATACAGCAGCCCTTTGATGTGAACACACTCTCACTCTCCGTCCGTTGTGTTTGC